GGGTTTATACCCTATTATATTAGTGCTAAACATTTAGCACTCGTTCCACTAACATAAACCAACCGATTACCCTCGCATCATATGAATCCCTCAAAGAAAAACTTTCAGACCTGAACGAAATTAAATCAATGGGCTTTGACGACATTCATCCACGCGTTCTAAAACACTGTGCTTCATGTTTTGCTATATCACTGAGCATTATCTTCTCTGAATTGCTTAAAGCTGGAGAAGTACCATCTCAATGGAAAAATGACGAAATTACTACTATCTTTAAAAAAGGCTGCAAGTTGAACCCCTCAAACTATCGGCTTTTCTCACGCACTTCTGTATCTTGCTAGGTAATAGAAAACCTTTTACACAAACACATTACTGAACACTTAAACAAAAAAAACTCATCAGCTCGGATCAATACGGGTTCCAAAAAGGAAAAGGTTGCGTCACAAACCTACTCGAAACTTGTGACATCAGCTGCACAAGCTGAAATCATATGGAGGACCCGACAACTTGCAGGATTGTATCAAGAGCTGGCTAACCGACCGGCTACAACGCGTAACCATTGCTAACAATAAACCCAATTGGGAAACAGTCTTTAATGGTGTGCTACAAAGATCTGTTCTTGGATTACTCCTGTTCGTTATCTACATTAACGATTTGCCTGACATAATACAATACCATTTTAAAATGTATACAGATGTAAAATAATCAGAACTATAGAATCAAACCATGACATCATAAAACTCCAAGTCGACATCAACGAAGCAGTGAAGTTTATCACACATGGGTTATGTTAATTAATGTCAACTAGTGCAAAGTCATGCATACTGCGCTCATCAATAAAAAAATTGACTGCAATTTAAACAATAAAAAACCTGGACAGCCAACTGCATCAGCTATCATGCGCATAATCTGAACAAGATCTAAGTTTTTATGAGCTGCGATCTAAAAATTAAAAAACAAGTCTATGCGGCTACATTACCTGGCAGCCTAATGCTTGGCAGGGTCAAGAAGGCTTTTTTTAATTTTTTTATTTGTCATTAAAAAAAAGAATACAATGCCGTGTTATATAAATAAAATCTACATGACCGGGGCTAAAAGAAGACAATATTTGCCTTATCACTACACCCCGACGTGCTTTCATCAGCAAGCGTGTATAATCATTAAAATGTAAACATAAAACATAAAATTACTTTGTACCATTTAAAAATTATATACAAATATATACAAATATGTTAAGATCAGTTACTAATCTATAATCAAAAGAAAATTGTAAAAACAAAAACAAAAAAAAACAAAAAAAAAAAAAAAGCAATCACACTTAAAAACTGTAGATACGCTAATAGGATAATTAAAGAAAATTTAAATTGGTTAGACTAGTTAATAAGATAGTTGTTAAAAAAGAAGATAAAAGAATCTTAAAAAGAATTTAATTCATTAACATCGTTAAGAAGTTTTTGTTTAAGTTTTTGTTTAAATAGAGAAAGCGAAAAACAATTTTTCAGCTGGTTATTTAATAAAGTGTTCCATAATTTAGGACCTCTGACGGCAATAGAAAATTTAGTAGCCAAATAGTGTATTTTAGGTTGCTCGCAATTGTAATTTGAAAATCTTGAAGGGTGCGCGTGAATAATTTTATTGAAAAATTTATTAAAAATTATAGGAGTTAATTTATTATGTAGTTTGTACATCAAAATAAGAATTTGATAAAGGTTTAACTGAAGAACATTGAGTATGTAATGATTTTTGAATAGTTCTTTAGAATGTGCGAATCGACCTGTATTTGAAATAATCCTTACAGCGTGTTTTTGTCTACTAAGCAATTTTTTAACTTTACTTACATTAGAGCTGCGCCATGCAATATTTGCATAGTTTATATAACAATGTATGATGGAGAAATATAAGATTTTTAAGCAGTTTTGGTTTAAGATTTGCTTAGCTTTGTATAGTATGCCAACATTTTTCGAAGTTTTATTTTCAATTGTTCTTATGTGTTCTCTGCATGTCATGTTTTCGTCAAGTATCACTCCTAAAAACTTTAATGAAAATTTTTGAGGCTGAAGCTCGGCATAATGACGCACACTATATATTTCGTATGTTCGCTCACTCCTAGAATTTGCAGTACAGGCCTGGTGACCGTTCTTTGTTAAAAACATAGCCAAACTCGAGCAAGTTCATCACCAAGCCACAAAACATATTGCTAACCTAAAACATCTTTCCTATACTCAAAGACTATCAAGCTTTAACCTGACAACACAAGTGAACAACGAGAAAGAGGAGACCTTATTGAATAATATAAAATCTTAAGCAAATTTGATAAAGTTGACTTTCACGTCCCTCAACTTTAACCAAACACAAAATTTTCAATGTACAGTTTTTTTCAGCGTAGGCACACTAAAGAACTAAAAGCGCAACTTGTCTGAAAGTGCGCTGAAAGAAGCTTCTTTGAACCTCTTTACCAACCGTGTTGTAAAATTATGAAATTTTTCAACTCAAAATGCGGTGG